TTTGGCTGTTTTAGCATTGTGTATGTGCACAACTATTTTACATAGCGATAAACAGGCATTTACATGGGAAACGGTGAAGCAACAGGCAAACACACAACACACACCACATCAGCGATACAAATAACTCCTGGAGCTGGATCATTCATCTGTCCCTCGTGTTCTTGTGTGCCCGGTAAATAGAGGCCGAACAAGAGCCAGCAAGGAATTTCTTGGACAGCACAGGCAGAAAGAAGTAACAAAAGTTAAACCTCTTTTTGTCAATATGAATGTCCATATATGTAGATTGTAATGATTTTGTTGAAGCAGGCTTCATATGTCTAAGGAATAGCTGCACTCAGCAATCAGAGAGAGAAAAATGATTAGGCAAATGAGGCTGAATTTATAATAAACCTTTACGCCTATTTGGCCGAGACACGTCCACTTGTAGACTGGGAGCAATTAGGCCACTGGTGCCACTATTCCATGTTTTGACTCTTTGAAACCCACAGCACAGAAGAATCTGAGGCATTACAAATTGGAACTGGACAAAAATATGTGTGAATTTGGATAAAAGCCACACAATCACTCAAGAACTCACTTAAGCAATCGTGAAAATAAATAACATCGATTTTGTTTTTTTTTTCTGTGCCTCTTTGGCAACACGTTTTCTCCAAAATTGAGCAGACTCAACTAATACTGCAAAGAGAACAACAGAAAAAAAAAAAAGAATAAAGTCAAGGTGTAACATTATTTCATATCAGGAAAGCCCTGCACATGAACGAGACAATCATGAAAACAATACAGTCGGTGATTGACATCCGCACATACTATACAGGTACCAACTCGCTGCAACGGAAAGACTGCAAACCCTGGTGTTGTTGTCAGGAAACGAAGTTTTGAAGTGTCACATACAGTTAACTCCAAACACATGGTGCGATTATCAAGGGAGAAGCAGATGGCTGTAGCTAAATTGGAATAATACTAAGAGGAAACAGAGCAGATTACGTCATCACTTTGCAGAAGAACATTTACTCTGTACTCTAATTACTGTGTATTGTCTTATTGGTCTATTTGTATTTGCTATGCCAACTCTGAATTTATTACTGCATTTGGGGTAGTTCACAGCACGTTCTGACTTGGGATGGAATAACGGCAATGTCGCCATATTAAAATTGACCCGATACTGTCGGCGTCATGGCACGATATTAAAAGCAGCGCATCTGTTAAACAGGCCAGATTCTTTTCCATTTGTGGTAGCTGATTTATTTGTTTGATTTGAATTAGGCACGTTTTGGCCACCTATGTTAAAGCCCTACGCCCATCGCCAAGGGGAATGTAACACGTTTGAGTTCATCCACAAATTGACTTGATTCCCGTGTGCTTGCATTAGAAATAGAACTCTACTGTTCAACCATAAAAGAAGAGACAAGCATGGCTTTGGCATAGCAATGAGGGCGGAATATCACTGCGCAAACACACGGATGCTTGCACAAGCGCACATCAACCAGTCTGGTTCCATTTGTGGAGCCTTTGATCAAAGAGGAGGTGTAACATTATCCTGAAGACTAAGTTATTAAAGGTGTCTTTAAAGCCAAGGTAGAATATGTCACTTTTACAACCATTTCTTCCGCCGGCCTTCTTGGGGATGGAGCGGTCATCTCACATAAACGACATAGGGCAACATAGAAGTTGTTCACCTGATTTCAATAAAATGCAACAAGACTGAGGACAGTTAGTGGCACTCCCCTCAGTTATTCACCTAAATTGGAATTTGTAAAAACAGATGCCTGGGATTTGCATTCTGAACTCGCATCTCATGTGGGCAGACAAGCAACCAGAATGTGTCAAGAAAACAAATCACTGAATGCATTAAATGTATGCATGTACATATTTTGTCTCTTTCCGTTGCCACTTTTGTCTACTTAAACAATACATTAATTAACAGGAAAAATGAGAGGAAAATTGTGGCGAACAAATGTCAAATTTGACAAAGATCGAGGTTAGCTTTTCCCAATAATATAAAGCAGCAGCTGGGAAAACTCCCTCAGCAAATAAACACAATTAGGATCCCCAAAGGGGGGAAAAAACAGAACGCTAATTGTTGAAAATATTAAAAGTGATCTGTTGGGGAGAGAGAGACTTGTTAGACTAATTAACTTCTTCCGGTGTTTTGTTTTTTTTTTCTTTGTGACAAATGATAATTACGTCAACATTACAAGGCATGGTGGGAATTCACAAAAACGGAAGGTGGGAGGGGGTCATTTATTGTGAGCAATTTAATTTATTTTCCACAACCGCTTGCTCATTGGTTTTTCATTATCCTCCCCCATTTCAAGCACCTCTACCTATTTTCTTTTTTTCAACCTGCATTTTATTTATATTTCCAATTTTTGGGCGTCCCTGGTGGCGCTGAGCAGGTGCAGCGGTCCATGTTGACAGCTTGTCCCTTCTCTCTAGCTGCAAGGCAAACTGTCACTCTTGTCATTCAGGCCTATGTGCACAGCATGGAAAATGGATGTGGGCATCTGTATTTGTATGTTCTCGGGAGATTATGACAGTGCACGGTGACAGGGGCAAGGGGCACTGTAAGCACTCTGAGAACCAGCTGAATGCACACACACACACACACACACACACACACACACACACACACACACACACACACACACACACACACACACACACACACACACACACACACACCAGGGCATGAGTCTCAGAACTTTGACCTGGCAGGGCCAAGCCTCAGGGGCAAAAAACTTAAGAGATGAAAGCTTGTGTCTTGTGTTTTTATACAAGTCACACACCCTGGCAGTATCTCTGTGCTGAGCAAAGCACATTTTCCCTGGAGTATCACTACATTGCTGGGAACAAGCCAGGACGAGTGGCAATCACACACATTGGGTCAACAAGATACCCCCCCAAGAAACAGAAAGTAACTTGCCAACTGACAAGCAAGCACAATCCCCCTACTGTGAGAGGTGCGTGCTTTCCTGAGTGTCAGTGCGTTGCGTAACCTTTCCAATCCTTTTCTACTAAATTCTCAAAACAACCAGTTGACCATCAACATTTAACACAGTTTATTTGAGCTCTTCAAAATCCTTTATGTTTTTTGTCGAGTTAATTGTACTACCCGAAAAAAAAGAAAACATGACCCCCCCCCCCCCCCCCCCCACACACACACACACACACACACACACAAACCAGCTGGATGAAAAATCTTGGACTAATATTTGAGATCTGGCATTCAGAAACAGGAAAATTGCTGCAAGTTCATTATAAACCCTATTGTGTGTGTGTGTGTGTGTGTGTGTGTGTGTGTGTGTGTGTGTGTGTGTGTGTGTGTGGTGCAGGGCACTGGCCCTAGACAAAGTGCTCTGCCAGGTTTCTGCCCACTGGTCTTTTCATTGCTGATGGATGGGCCTAGTTCAGCACCATCTGGCTACAGGATACTTCACATTAATCATTGCAAACACACACAGAGGCACATCCACTCACAACTTGTCTCTTAAAACACACACCAGGGGGCCAGTGTTCAACACTGTATGTACGTATGCATAAAAACGTGTAATCTAATGTCATATTTAAATCTAAAACTTTTTTTTTTTTTAACTGAGGTCAACTGCATGACAGGAAGATAGAAAGACCAATCAAGAAGCAAGCTAATTCCATTAATCCCATTGAGTGTCAATATTGAAGGTTGACATTTACCTCTCTCGGGATTTTTCATTAGTAGCGGGTATGTGAAGACACAATCTTGGTCATAAAACAATTAGTTGATTTAAATAGCATTGTTTCATTGAGGCTTGTAGCCTGCAGCTTTGAAACAATAAAGGCCCACAAACACAACAGCCCCTCCGCAACTCAGCCTTTATTAATGACCTTTGCCTACCTTGTCGAATACATATTAGCAGTAATTGCCGTAAAGACGGAGACTTATCCCTACACCTTGTACACATGCATTCTTGCTGTTACATGTGTACACAAACCGCACACTGATGTCAACCCACAATACTTTTCCTAATCTATAAACCGAAAGGCCATGCAACCATACAATCTAATGTAAAATGAGTGATATGATCAGACTAACGCCTGCAGTATGTGGGTTTAATAAAAGATGATTTGCCTCCACATTTCCTCAGTGAATGGACGGAGGCAAGGACAGGAAGACCTTGGCGGATCTGGGATGGCTCATGCTTGACATTGGATCTTTTTAGCAAAGCATATCTCCCAGCTATCTGGACTTGTGATGCACAGGGATTTATTTTGCACATCTACAATCTCTGGAAATGGACGCAGAGCCACATGAACATTCTGGGCTTGACCAGACATTGTGGGATAGAAGATTTGTGGAATCATTTGTGTGAAAGAGGCAAATATATCAGAACATCACATGTTCAGATTTGTATAACTTTCAAGTTCATTTTCTATGCATGAAGAACAAATACAACGTAAGCAAATATTTAGTCGCTCTATTTTGTGTGTGAGGGTTTCCTAAAAACTATTACTAGAGAAAAAAAATTCGGGAAATTCACACAGTAAGAAGGGGCTCTCTGTGATGAAAAGTAAAGCTCTCCAAAAAAAAAGAGTGATAATCGCCCTGATTGTCCAAATAATTTAGTTGATGGCGCTTCTGCCTTGTACACGATGCGAAATGCATGACTGAATTCAGTCAAAACCGATCACCATACTGTATAGTTAAATCCTGAGCATCCAGCTCAAAGGAAAACTGAGCCCCCATTGTAATCAGGAGCCAACACTTCACATGCTCTTCTCCACAAGATTGCTGACAAGAGACGATCCCCCACATAAGTGTAAAACAAAATCATCACAGCCCTTAAGACAATGCATGAATGATGACTGACAACTTCTGCTGTCAAGTGAGGGGCTTCTTCTGAAGCCCGATTAAGGAAGACGCAAGCTGATGATGAAACAAGTGCATACTGATGGAAATGGACAAAGACACATGTCAAAGTGGAAGGAAAAAAGAAAAAAAAAAGGAAAGAAAAATGCAGTCTTACCTTGTGGTCATAAGGGTTGTAGGAGTGAAAGAGTTGAGATAGTTCTTTTGTCCGTTGTTTCTTCTGTGATTGAAAAAAACGAGGAATGCAATGTTAAGATAAAGATAAACAAAACATATGCAATCTACAACTTGAATGCAACATTAACTCAAACCGGAAGGAAGAACTTTGGCTTTGGTATCCGACCTGATTCAAGATGTGAAAATCATTGGCAACATTTTGGGCTGGTGCTTACAGCTTTGACAACAACCATGTCGAATATTAATATTGGAGACCTAACCTTAAAATTGTTCCACTTCTGTAGGCTAGTCCTGCTTAATGTAAGATAAAAGCATGGCATATGGTGTAAAGACGTAAGACATGCAATACATCTTGACTTATTAACTTATGGGTCACTTCAGCAGATGGGAGAAAATTCATTACGGCTAACAGCAACGCCTGCAGTAATCCATTCACTCTGTAAAATATAAAATGAAGACAAAGGAAGAGAGATAGAGATTTTTGACAACCAATCATATCAGAAAGCATTTTTTTCGATTCAATTTATGCTCCAAGTCCAGCCTTAACCTTTGCGATGTGTAACAAGACGCACAGGCATGAGACGTGAGTGTTTGATACACAGCACTTGTTAATGCAATCAGTGACATGACGCTGACACAGTTACAAAGAGGCGTAATTAGCCCACTGATTAGGCCATGCCTGGCTGAGGGGTAAAGGCTGTATGGACTTGCCGCTATTGCTACAAGGAACTTTGTAATCATTTCCAATTCTTTCTCCAGCTTTATTCCACTCAATTCTGATCGGTAAAGGGTTGAGCTCGTGTCCTCAGGCTTGCTTCCGTACACAGGGAGCAAAAAGCCTAACAGGTTGCTCTGCTTCTACATGCAGTCATCACTGTAGCTTCAGCAAACATGACATCATTTTGGGTTTCTTTTTTTTTTGGGGGGGGTAGTAAGAGGGGACTTACTTTTTATAGTATACAAGTAAGAATCATTTTCCAGGGTAGTCGAATGAATTTGTGTCAAATCTGTTGTTCCACCAACATTATCCTGCAAGACGCAACTATTTCATCACCTCATCACGCCTCAGTGTACCCTATATTCCTCTGTTCACACATTTCTCAACCCAATGACCACTCCCAATCTTTTCCTAATTATTTGCTCCCTAAAGGCTCAAACTGCAATCCTAGAACCATTTTCCATGGTCTACATCTGAGTTTCTTTGGCTTTTACCTAAATCCCTCTCGCACTCTCAGTCAAGGGGCTCGCCACATCAACGCAAAAACTCTCTCTCTCTTCTCAATCTTTTCTTTGGCTTTCTATGTATCCCTCGGTACCTCACTTGTTCCTCATCTGCTATATTTCCCCACAGGATGGGAGCACTCATACTTATTCACTCTTCACTCTCTCCCCCTGACTCTCCAACCCTCTCCCCCACCCCTTAGTTGATGGATCTCACTATACATGCCTGGAGCATCTTAGGTGAGAGCAATCCTCTCATCATCACTCCTTAGAACCATTCTGTCTACTTCTACACCCTACTCTCGACCCCCATACATCGTGTCTGTGTGTGTGTGTGTGTGTGTGTGTGTGTGTGTGTGTGTGTGTG